GAACAAAACATTCTTGTGAAACCCAACTCCTTGTCACAACCCAGGTCCTTCTTTCCCGATTCGACCAAAAGAAACAAATTGACATGGCTATTTTAGCCTTTGACACGGTCCCGCAGTCACTTTTTGTACAAACTTGACCACTATGGCGTTCATCCCGACATATTGATTTAGGAAGCTTGACATGTTTTAGGTTTTAAACCAGTTACATTGAATCATATTATTTGTACGGATCTTCAAAATTATTTAATACCTTTACTTTCTTTTTGCTGAGGAAATATTAAATCTTAACAGGTGATATTATAATTAATCAATTTTACCTGCATAAAACCTTTTTAACAAAAAATAATGTTCTGCCTTTTGAATTGATTTGATATGTAAGATTGCAGCAATATTAAGACACCAGGATGGCTACCACCACTGAGGACAGCTCAAGCAACAATGGAAACAGAAGTGTATCTGATATGAGCAAGTCTGAATTAGAAATGTATCGTCATGGACCAGAAACAGAGTTGTCTGCCCTTGTTTGTCATGCTTCAGAATCTGGAGATTTTACTGCTCTGAGGGATTACTTACAGGTAAGATGGCCATTTATGTCACAACAAACAACAAATGTCTGTTTCGTAATGAAATCTGAAATGAATGCACAAATCCTAAACTTTTGTATGCACAGTGAGAATTAAAAAGTTAATTCTGCTATTTATTGAAAAGTAATTGAAACAATTATAGTTCAAACATTTTTAATACTATGCATATGAAATTACTGCTCTTGACGTTTATATTAGATACTGTCGGACACAGAGCCTGAAAAGATCAATGAAACTGACAAAGCGGGAATGACAGCTCTACATTTTGCTGTTTCTTGCCAAAACGTACGTGATGATTGTATACAGTAACTGAGTAAGGTTAGTTAGGTTACAGTTAGCCTTATTATGGATTTATTTATCAACACAACGGTAACATTTAATTTTTGTGAGGGAAATGTGTGACAGTGGATATGAATTTTATTGTATCAGTACTGAATTGAAGATTTCCTTTCTGTATTTGTCATAATATGCTTCAGATAATTAACGTCTGAACTTTGATATTGTGCAGTTTGTGCAAATTTTTAAAGGAATGAAATGGGGTCCAAATATTACATTAATATTCACACAAAGACAACTTTTCTAAAACTTGTATTGCTTTATATGTGCAGTTTGTGGTATCAATTTTTTTCTACAATAAATAAGTGAGTTGTTTAATGTGATTTTTGAAATAGCTGCATGCAGTGAGTATGCTGATACGCCACGGAGCAGATGTGGGTGCACAAGATGTGCTTGGCTTCACTCCACTGTTCCTAGCTACCGGTTAGTAACATTGTTTAACTAAGCAATTGGATCCAATGCAAAGAGAAGGAAAGATGAAGCAAACACGTCGGGATTCTGTAATTTATCTAAGAAATAATCAATGTATGTGCATGTATTATGGTGGAATAGATAATGAGGATGAGAAAATGTTGGAAAAACAAAGGCCAATTGTACAGTTGGTTATTTATCCAACATTTTTGAATCCCGGGTCCAAGCATGATGAGTTTGTCAGATTTTAAGTAGTCTAGAAGGTAAAATAGAATTTTTTGTTCGGCTGGGGAGGGCAAAATGTTGGTCTGTTGGAAAATAATTCACGCTCATGCATAGTCTATCGACCAATTATACATGATTATTAACCAATGAAAATAGTCGTTACAAAAATCGTAAACATGGTAGAGTTACTAATATCCACTTACAACCCCCACAACCAGTTGGTCACCATCTCCATTCGGTGGATCCAAGTCTATCGATTTAGTTTCATTATTATGGTCCAGAACGAAAAGAAAATGATTGTGTGCTGTATACACAGAACAATTATACTGAAGTGTTTGGTGTTTAGTAAAATATAAGTCCATCCTTCAAATTTTTTGATTGCAGTTTCCCTACACAAAATATTTTAGTGGGTTGGTGGATAGGGAACTTTTTATTTTCAGAAATCTCATATTTCAATGTATAAAACCGTTATATGTTTTAGTGCTTCAGAAAGCAAAATATTTTTACCAAAAGTTCCAAAAAAGGGATAGAGTGTAGATGCCATTTTCAGTGAGTTGGTCAGGAAACTGCAAATAAATAATTGTTAAAGGATGGCCTAATTTGCTGCATTTTGTACATTAGATATTTGTTGTTTAGTTCTTTGGTGAGGAATTCTTTGGCTGTATTTTGTAGGTCGTTACCCAAATTTGGAGGTGGCCAAGTACCTACTGACTGAAGGAAAATCTGACGTTAATGTAAAAACACACAGTGGGGCCACTCCACTCCATGGGGCATCTCTACAGGGGAACATTGGTAAGGGGCTGTTACAATTACTGACTCACTCCTACTGCATTAGGCCTGTAATATTCTAGAAACCATTCAAGGGTTCCAACAGGCCTTGGAAAGGCCCTAAAACAAAGTAGTTGGTGGCCCTGAGAAAACCTTAAATTGAAGAAAAAAAATCTTGAATTTTTGAAAATGCCCTGAAAGCCCCAAACTTTAACAAAAAAATGTCTTGAAAGGGTCAAAATGAGCCTTGAAATTGACTGAATAATTATTGAACTATAATTGTATATCAATTTTGGTGGTTTTGTGGTATTCTCATAAAAAAGAAATCAGGAAATATAAGTTATTTTCTAGATTTTTGGACTACCAACAAGTAGTGGATTACATATCTAGATATCTGTACTTTAAGAATTTGCAAATGGCAGGAGTTTGTATACCTTGAAATTTTACTGAAAAAGGCCCTTAAAAGACTCTTATAAAACTTTGAATTTCATAGTAAATTCCTGTTTGAACCCTTGTTTACTATCTAATAGAAATATTTCAAATATCATCACTGAAACATTATTTTCATAACCCTCAGGCTAAAGTCAATACCAAAATCAGTGGTAACATTTTTGTTGTCAATTTTGTATGCATGCCTTACATTTTAAACTATCAATATATATATACTTTGATGATTCTCAACATGGAGAAGTATGTTCTATGATCCTAACAAAACAGTAGCGAATTTTTTAAATGTTACTTTGTTATCAGGGAATGAAAAAAATGTCATGTAAAATGTGAAAACTGATCAATTCTTCAAATGTGATTTAATGCCATATTGCCATTGAGATGTTGATATACTGTGTAGATTGTTTGAAGTTGCTGCTGGAATGGAATGGCGACCCACGAATAGAAGATGAAGATGGAACCACCCCATTTGAACTGGCAAAGGACGACGAGACCAAGGCGGTCCTCCATGATGCCATTATAGTGTTTGATGCCAAGAGAGACACAGTGGGTTTGTAGTACATTCTTACATCTTACATTGGACTGCTGAGCTCTGAGTTTACACTACTGAGCTCTTGAGTTTACAC